TTAAAAAACTGCCCCCAGACGACCCATGGAACGTAAGGGAACAGGTGAGTATATCTGCCAGGGCAGGGAACATTCTTCTTAAGATGCCATTCAGGTAGGCTCTGCCTGGTTGAAAATGTTGAGGCCCACAAATAAGGCACAAATCTCATTTTGGTCATGATCTGTCTGTCCATCCTTAAGAGCCCCTCATTGTTACAAGTGTACAAGAGGTAAATACCTTTCTAGCCTCACCAAATGAGAAAAATCAAGGAAGAAATGGTTTTGTCCCCTCTCCACCTTTTGGTCCTTGACCCCAGGGGGCCAGGACCCTTAGAAGCAATAGGTGAGCATAAGGAAGAGAGAAGCCCCCAGTGATACTCAGATATTTCTCTTCCTCTCCATCATGTGCACAGTGTTGTGGCCCTACTCATGGGTAGAGGTGGAGGAAAACATACAACCATAGGACCATGGGGTTCAGAACAGAAAGGGATCTCAGGAGATGATCTCTAGAGACAGCATGGCCCAGTGAAACAAATTGCCCCTGGGTTCAAATCCCAAATTTAGCCTTTATTCACTGTGTGCCATCAAGTAAGTCACATAACCTCTCTGTTCCTTAGTTTCCTCACCTACTGCAAAGGGAGATGATAATGCTTTCCTTATGTGGTTGCTGTGAGGATTAAGAAATACGCAAGTTTGTAGGTATTACTACTGTCTAAGAAGGCAGTCTTAAGGCTTTCGGCCATAGTGATTCACTCTCAACTGCAAGTATGTGGCACTCCTCTTATATAAAGAAAAGTTCTAAGGGAAGTCATAACATTTAAGTTCCACAGCTTTCTTGCATTGGAACTAGAGCCAGATTGGTCTGTAACAACTGTTCCCCCCAACCAGAAGGGGGGCCCAGACTCTTCATGAGCCAGGGGACCATTCCTTCAAGTAGACCTCATTCACTTTCCTGGCCCCCTCTTGCCTTCTTCTTGTCCTCTATTATTCATTCTCCTCTCTCTGTGTCCTCTCAGCATTTGGCTACCAGAAACCAGTAGAATAATCCAAACGCATCCATTCTCCCTTCTCCCCAACATCTGGCCGAGGACTACCTCAGTTGGGGGCCCCAGAAGCCCATCATGGGATATACACAGTCTGGATGGCTCCCTGGCCTGGCCACCTCTAACAACGGGGTTACAGCAGATGGATTCCTCTCTGTGGCTGATTATTTTCCATGGCCCTTGGCCATGTGACCTTGGACCATGATCTTGTCAGTTCTCATAAACTAAGCAGGAGTGGCTGAGTCACACACAGAGAAGAAATCTCTGGGGGACACGGCAAGGGCTGTGGGAGGAAGGAGAGCAAGCCGGATCCCGAAGGCCATGGGAGCCTCACCCTCCTGCCCCCCACCTCTGAGCAGCTTTGATTTTACATGAAGGGAAGGAGGAAGAGACAGTACCCCAGGGGACAGGCTGGGCTGCAGGTGGGCTACCCTTATTAATAAGATCTGGGGTCTCAGCCCAAGAAGCCAATTGTCCCCAAGACCTCCAACCCACAGAAACTGCCTGCATAAGCTACTCACTGAACCCCCGGTTATTGACACCCAATTCCTATTCTTAGGAGCCCTGATACATCATAATCATAATAAGATAAAGTAGAGAACAGCCAACACTCACACATGCACACGTCCCCACATCTACCATTGGCTCTGGATGTCCTCTGGGAGGTCAAGTGATGAACACTGATAAAAGCATTGGAAAAAGACACTCCGGGCCCTTGATCCCATGTTGATGGTGAAGATGTTCTGGGGATGCTACGTGGAGTGTTTACCTTATGCCAAACACGTAGATGAAAACAGAAAATGAGGTAATGAGGTGCCAACAAAATCTCCATGTTCTCCAATATCCTGAAATTGGGTGTTGTGTAAACAAAACCCTGACTTTCCCTGCCTAATTTTTGTGTTTTTGTTTTTCTGGTTTTGGGGTTTGTTTGTTGTTTTTTTTTTTTTTCACTCTAAATCATCTTTAGATTTCAAAGTTGTGCGTGTCTGTAGCTTTGGGTCACAAGTTACCTTAAATTCTCTGACAAGTTAATGCATTGTTCGAGAGGTTATTTCTGAGTAAAATATGCACACATAAACAATCTCCTTAACTATGTATATGTTTTAATTACATTCTGGGCATCCACTTGATGAAATCCTAGGGAGAAGAGTATACGTATGTGTGTCCGTGAGTCTAGGGCGTATATTTTTGCATACACAAAAACACGGGGCAAAGCATGCTATTTTAAGAGTCTGAACTCTATCTTTCAACAAAGTTTAGCTGCTTTCCTTTTGCAAATGCACTTAATTTTATCTGGAAACTTTTTGACGTTAGAAGTAGAACAACTGTAGTTTCTCATTATGTTTGTTGCCAGAGTCCATGCTTGGTTGCTCAACTAAAGACCTTATATTGCTAATTACTACCACATGCCCATATCCCAAGCGAAAGAAAACTTATTGATTCTGACAGCCCATTCTCTCAACACTGAATTCCAAATGAAAACTCAAATTTTGGCCAAACATAACATTTCATCAATCTTGTTCTACTGACTGGAAAACAACATCAAACAAAGGGTGCTAATGGCCCTTTATTACCGTTCCTTTCCCAAGCTTATATTTTCTGATGAAAGATCTAAGTGACCAAAGGGCTTTTTTAAACTACTTAGTAATTAGCTTTTGAACCAGGAAACAATGCGTAAAGTAAAGTGAATGGTCCCAGTGTTGATGACAGGACCTACTCTCTGTCCTCAGGGTCGGGGGACATCGGAGACCCAAAGAGCACATTAAAAGCAAAGTGTGTATTTTCATAAAGGGAGGAAAAAAAAAGCGAAAGAGAAAAAAACAGGCTAAAAGGGCATGATAAAAGATGACAGAGACGGAGCCAGAACAAAAGCCATGGGAAGTCTGTGATCTGAAGTCACTTGAGGGTTTGAGTGCAAGTGCCAAGGCGAGAAAGATGACCAGATCCGACCAGGGGCGGGTGAGAGACTGCTGGTCTGAGGCCCCCTCTAGGGCGCCCACCGACAAAAGCCACCAGCCACCCGGCCCACCCACACTGGACCAGGGAAACTATTTAGAGGAAAAACATTGTACCTGGAGTGAGAGTCTAGAAATATGTTCAACATAGACTTTAGGGCAATTGACTTTATGGGCTTCTTCAGGGGCAGTGATAAGGAAATGCTGGCTGAGCTAGTGGGGTGGGAGGCCATAAAGAGAGCCCAGTTCCTCAGAATGCCTTCTGCTTTATGGCGACCTGTTCACACCTTAAAGGCGAAATGGACAGAGGAGCTGTTTTCCTCTTGGCAATGGAATAAATGACCAATGGGAATCTCTGGACTTCTCTGGCCTTTTGGATCCAACCAATGGCCCAGAAATCAGAACAGCTTGGTTCTCATCTCATCCAGGACTGTTAAGATAATAGGAAGAGGAGGGCTCCATTAGAGGGAAGGTGGAGGAATGTGCTGCCTCCACGGAAGAGACGCCAACTGGCCTCCTTTCGCCCACTGTCCTTTGTTCCTTTGAAAGGAAACTGGTATCCTGTGGGTAGTTCAAGAAAATGAGTCTTTTTTTTTTTCCACCTCCTCATTTTCTGAATGAAGGACTGGACACCTGAGCTCAGGATACACTGGGATCACCGACAGGAGATGAGGTTTGCTCCATCCAATAGGACCGCCAGTCAAGGAGGAGGCGAGGGGGAAGGGCAGTGCTATGCTTTTATTTTCTCTTAAAAAACAAAATAGGCTGTTCAATTGTTCATCTGAAAATTTATCAGAGGAGGGGCACCTGGTTCTGCGATCGGAGCTTCTAGGATTGGGAAGGGGCCTGAGTGATGAAAATACTCTCATCTCGTTCTGGATGGTAATGACTGAGTGTGCACATAGGGACACATCCCTTGAGCTGTACATTAAAGCTGTGTGCCTCTTACTCTATGGAAGTTAAAACAAAAACAACAAAGCTGAGGACCCAAGAAAAAGCTTTAAAAAAAAAAAGTAAAGTAAAGAATAGTTGCCACCAGCCCTGCCTGGTGCTCTGGCAGAGGACAGAGATATTAAGGCCCTGCTGTTTACAGAGGAGTCAACCTTCTGGTTGATAATGAACCCATGCATTGATACAGATATTGATAAAATGATCGGAGCACAAAATGAAACAGTCCCTAAGAAGAATGCATTGATGTACAGGGAACCAAACAAAAGACTCCCATCAGGACTAGTATGTCGTGCCCTGACATACCATAGATAGACTATCTTGCCCAGAAGGAATCTCAACTGAGTAATGAGTCCCTCTGAGGACAAGCTCGGTGTCTCCTGGCTAAAGAGAATTGGTTTCCTGGCTGCCACAGTGCCTTGACAGTAGGCAAGGTGACCTTGACCTTGCCCTCCCTAAGGCTTCCCTGCTGGAGGACAATCCCATGTTACTGCTGCACAAAAAAACCCCCTAGGATGGCATCACATTGGTCTGGGGGACCAGAATGTAATCACTAAGCCAGTCGATGTGAAGAATGAATGAGCTTGGTTTCCTGCGGAGAGATTAGAACAGAAAATACAGGTCCAGTTATCTAGGGATCCCTTCCAGGAGAAATGCAGTATGTGTCTCAGAAAGATGGGTGGGGAAGAAAGCCACGAATGGGCACAGATCTGGGTAGTCAGTCCACGGGTGACAGCTTCCTGGGGTAATTCTGACATCACACCCCACACAGAATGTGGCCCTTCCCTCACAGAAGCTTCAGGGGCGGCATTCAGGTGTCACCACCAGAGGGGCTCTGGAAAATCACTCAACCCCATCTCTTCTGATGCAACTGACTTACTTTCTGCCTCCATGTTTGTTAAAAGTCCCGCCGAATTTATTCCGATTCAGGATGAGACCAGCAATTTCGGGCACGTAGCGGGCAAACATTGCCTACATGCATGAAACAAAGAAACAAGAGCCAAAAAAAAAAAAAAATGGCATGCAGAGAGGATTCTACCACAGCAGAGGCAGCAAAACCTCTTGGCATACTTACTTTCTTCCACTAACCGCACTATAGGAGCCCCCGTATTTCTTGCGGTTTCCTATTAATTCTATGATTTCAGGGACGTAGCTGGCAAACATGGCCTGAGGAGAAGACAGGAGACAGAAGAGAGACTGAAAAGACAGGCCAAAGAAAGGTGGTGACCTTTTCAGAAGGCGGGGGGGGGGGGGGGCTCTAAGATCCAAAAACACAAAAGGGTTAGGACTGCAAAGGTATATACTAATACGGTGGATTATAAAGATAAAAGCACAAAAGCACAAAAAAGGCAAGCTCCTGAAAATACACAGGACCAAACAAACATTAGCCAACCTAGACAACTACCAAAAAAAAAAAAAAAATCACAGTCAAGAAAAATGCAAAGGAGACAGGAATAAATAAGTTGACATCTAGCTTTTCTTGCTGAAGGGTTCACTACAGGGGGTGCATGCTGGTGAAATCACACTCACACACACACACACATACACACACACACACAACGGCAAGGTAAGACCTTTCTTTCTAGTTAAAATTCACAGGAGAATCAATGCCTTTTTGAGTGACGAAAGACAATAAACACCAAAAGAAGATTAAAATAATATAAACTTTTTCCATTTAAAAAAAATCACTAAAAAGCACAAAAGGTAAATTTAGGAAATCACATGGGAGGACAGAATAGCAAGGAGAAACACAAATCTGCCATGTTTTGTCCAACAAACATTGTGCTTGTGGCTGGATTCGTGGGTCTCAGTATCTACAGGGACCTCCCAAGTGCTGAGGAAATGCTTGTGTTAGTGGACACACACACACGTACATTTATATACATTTTTTTAAATGTATATATGTCGTATGCATACAGAACAGAGAGATATATATGCATCTTATAAATGTATGTGCGGCGTACACACGTGAAAGCTCTGTGTGAGGGAGGATTCTAATCACTTACCGCAGACGCGGCAAAAATCTCAACTTAAAACGAGCTAGTTTGAAAGACAAAATGCAGCAACCGACCATGTGTTGCCAGAAATCGCCCTTGAAAATTACATCATAACCGACTGTTAGGATCTGCAAAGACCAGAAAAGCAAATAGCAAAACCTTCTGACTTACAAAGGGGGAGGAAGAACATCCCACGGGTCGCTGCATCGTGGAGCTACTCGGCCATTTACAAAACCACACTCGGCTCACATAATGATGTCCACCTGCATGAGACCCGTAGGCTTTCCATCCTCTGTGGGGACCCTACTCTTCAGGGCAGGCCCCAGCCACAGTGTTTGTTGGAAGTTTAGGGGAGGATGGTAAAGGGTGTGGGGGAGCTTTTGAAACTGCAAACTGTCTACAGAGTCTCCACAGCATCCACTGGGTCAGGTGAGAGCAGCTGTCCTTGCCGAAAGTATCAGCGGCTGAATTACATTACTGAGGGACAGACGCTCTCACTTAATAAGGGAGCATCACTTTCTTTAAGACAATTAGGTTTCCTCCTGGCTAAAAGGCTGACCCCGACAAGGGCAGGGTGCCTGGGCCTCTGGGAGACAAGTCTAACATTCCGAAGAAATATGCAGAAAAGTCACCATTTGCGTTTGGATTTACTTAGCCTGATTGTAACACTAAGGCAATCACTTGCTGGTGATGCAGAAACACAGAATCAAAAAATACAAAGCTTTAAAGAAACGGACCATAGAAAATATTAATGACCACAAAAATCAACATCATAATCAAGAGTTCTTACCAGTCCCCCGAGGATGAAGAAGACCATGAAGAGGCGCCCAAGCGTGGTTTTTGCGTAAACGTCCCCATAGCCAACAGTGGACATGGTGACCATGAGTAAATAGACACATTCCCAGTAGGTAAGAGCCTGGTTGTTTTGGAAATTTTCCCATGGGTCCCCTGAATTCTCCACCTAAAGCAAGGGGACAGGGAAGAAAAAAGATGACGTTATGTACGTAGGATAGACCAGGAACACAAAAGGTTCCGCAGGCTCAACACAAGGTGTCTGCGGCCCCAGGTGAGTCTTATAGTAATGACTTGGAACCTCCATGCAGGTAATGGAGAGAGTAGGGTGGTAGTAACACACACATGCCTTCCTAGCTGATGGGGCAGAGAGGGGGAAGGAACAGAGATATGTATCCTTAGTCCGTTTTCTTCTCCTTGTTAAAGATGTGAAGCCTGCAGAGTTTGAAGGCATCGCCCCTGGCCACGTTTTACAGCATTCTCTTCAAGGAAAGAGCCAGAGAGCTGTGCCCTGACCTTTCTCTGTGAGTTTCTGCTCAGTCTCGGAGGGCCTGGCTCCTGTACACCCAAAGAAATTTGAGACTCTCTCACCAGGGGCCTCCTCTTTTCATCGTTTTGACCAAGGCGATGCCTGGTGGGCTTCGCTCACTCAGACCTTACACCCAAACCCCAAACAGCATCTCTCCGAGTCTGACTCTGCTCTCCCGGCTTTGCAGAATGTCAAGGATGGCTCTTCTACCCTGCAAAGAGCAGGAATTTCCCTGAGCGCACAAAAATTGAGCTCATGAGAACAATTTGCTTTTGTGCAACCCCTTAGATGGAGGGTCAGCAAGCTGTCCCTGTAAAGGACCAGATAGTAAATAGTTTCAGCTTTGCGCAACATACAGTTACCGATCTCTGTAGCAACAACTCAACTCTGCAGTTGGTGAATCAGCCAGAGGCAATACTTAAACCCAAGGGGAGTGGATGAATTGGGAGCCCTTTTCCCCAGGGGTGCAGTGTGCCCAACTTTACAAAATACCTTACCTTCCCATTGATATGATCCACCAACAAAGCTGTGGGGGAGGCAGGAGAGATACTCTAGCTACTACTCTCAGGAGAGAGGGAGAAATGTGGGCTGGATCTCCAGGTCTACCCCGGATCCCAGCCCTGCAGTACAGCGCATGGGCAGTGCCTATGATCCACCAGCATGGCCCATGTGGGCAGCCAGCCTCCAGGCCCCCAATCCACTGAGCCTCTGGTTCTTCCTCTGCAGAAAGTTTCCAAAACCTAGCCTCTTTCGCACATCACTTCTTGAGCTCAACGTGCCATTTTCATGGAGGTTTCCTGGTGGAGCAGAAGCTACATCACAAAATGTAAGGTGAGCTCACCTCATGGAAATACTGAAGACCATACATGGTGATTAGGGTTTTTACCTACTAAGAGTGATTTCAGCCAAGAATTCCATCAGCATGAAAGGGTGGGTGGGGAAGCCCTCAGATATAGTGACTGAATGAGAGCCCCCCCGTCCCCTGGCTTCCATCCCAGGCCTGCCTCCCACGATAATTACATAAATCCTGATGATGGGAAGTAACTAAAGGCACCCCTCTGCCCCTTAACACAAGTAGAGTCTCAGCAAGGGAAAGGCACCTTTACTCAAAGCTTCAGAGTTAGATGAGGCTCCTTCCAGTTTTAACAGTTTGTGTTTGTATGAAACACGCTTCCAACAAAAGCTGTGGTCCCTAAAAGCAGGAATAAAGGCCTGCCTTGAGGAGGTGAGAATAGCTTGACTTGATAATGGAAACCTTTCAAAGAGTCATTAATTTAAAAGAATCAACGTTTTGGAGATACAAAATAACTTGACAAGTAATCAGGCAAAAGAATCAAAGGTGGCTTTTTGTAAGGGGGAAGTGGAAAGAAATTGAGGGATGTGAATTTGTTGTTTATCAAAAGATGTGGGTCAAACTCCCAACCTTGTCACCAAGACCTGTTCAAGTGTTGGCTGAGGAAGCACTGCCATCTTGTGGCTGAATGGGGTTACTGCAGACAGAGGGGAAAATCCACCCAACCAGTGAGCTGAAAAACGCAGGTTAATGAAGCAAACATCATTCACCATTTGGAACTAGTTTTGGGTAAAAGGGTTGGAAACCCAGACAACCGTGCAGTTGCTTCTCCTCCTACATTCTGCAGCGAGGCTGAAGTTTCTCTTCAGGGAGAAAAATTTCAAGTAATAAAATGATGCAGGGACAGATTTACTGCAGAAAAGCCAGAGCTGAAGCATCGTCAAGGATACTTACCAAATGGATGAACCCGGCTGCAGTTAGCCATGTGCTGATAAATATGGAGAGCAGATTCACCAGCTTGATGGAATTACTGTGCAAAAGAGACAACAAGCAAAATCCCCAAGTTACAAGAGAAGACCATGTTCGGGCTGCCTTCCAGAGTGACAGCAATCTTTAGGGGACAGATAGCCCAACTCTACTCCCCAGGGCTTCCTCCATCATAAGGGAAGGTCCCAGAAGACAGTCTTGGTAGGTAGGGACAGAGCCAATAGAAAAATGACTCTGGACCACTAAAAGTGACCCCTAAATTAGCCCCTCTATTGGGTTTAACTTTTCTTTACTTAAATTTTATTTTGAAAATTTTTATGTCTACAGAAATATGGAAAGAACAGTATATAAACACTTATATGCCATTCTTCTAGAGTGAGCAATTAGTATTTTGGACATTTTCTTTGTATTCTTTTTCTAGTCTTTTTTTTTTTTTTTTTTTTTGGCCGTACCATTTACAAGTACATTGTAGACATCATGACACAACCCTTAAATACTTTAGCATTTAACACTTAAGAAGGATACCATGCAACAGTTGTCATGCCCAAGAAAATTCACATGAATTCAGGAATGTCATCTAAAATGCACTCTCTCTTTAAATCTCTCCAGTTGCCCTGAAATTATTTAATGATGTTTTCATTCTTTCACCTTGATGCAGGAACCAGCCAAGATTCAGGCATTGCATTTGGTTATTATGTTGCTTTCTTTATTCCAAGGGTCAGGAAACTTTTTCTATAAAGGGACAGATGGTAAATCTTTTAGGCTTTGTGGGTCACAGAGTCTCTGTGGCAGCTATCCTACTTTGCTGCTATAGCATAAAAGTCAGTAAGAGAATGGATGTGTCTGTGTTCCAATAAAACTTTATTTACAAAAACAGGCAATGGGCTGGATTAGCCCTTGTACTATATAGTTTGCTAACCCCTGCTTTGTTCTCCTTTCATCTGCCCCCCTGCCCTTTTCTTTGTTCATTTAATTTTCTGTGCACTCAGGTCAGCTGTCTTATAGAATGTCCCATATTCTGGATTTGTCTGATGGTTCCCCCATGAGTAGATCCTGTTTAGATGCTTCTGTTAAGAATATCTGCCTGGGTTGTCATCACATCAGGAAATTTCCACTCAATTACACTAGGTCTAGTCAGTTGGTTAAGGTGGGAACATGAAATCTTGCCACTTCCCTTTGGAAGGAGCTCATTTCCCTTTGTAATTAATATGTCATCTATGCAGTGAGAATCTGAGACTATATGAATATCCTGTTCCCGCACAACCTCCTGCCTAATAATGTCAGCATCCACCAGTGTTCCTTGAGTGGATCAGTTGGGACTCACTATAGTTTAAGCACCCTGAAAGCAGAGGCCTTGTCTGTCTGGATCCCATAAGGGTAGTGAGTCCCTGGCACATAGTAGGGCCTTTATGCATAAATCCTGAGTGAACTCGCCCCTCCCCCTGCACTCTTCCCTCTTAGCTTCACCCCGTTCACTCCCGCTGGGGTCCAGTTCCTTGAACGCTGTTGTTAGCAGGTCACTTCCCTATCCAAAGTCTCCCTGTTGACTAAAATGTTATGTCCAAACTCCTTCCAACCTCAACACCTGCGGAAGGTTCAGGCTCACCTACCACCTCTTCAACATCCACTCTTGAAACCTCCATCACAGCCAAACTTGTGTCCTATGTCTGTTTTTACTACTATCAAAGATGGTCCTTTCCATCTTTGCAAATATTTCCCTTTCTTCAGAACCTGGTTCAATCCCCACGTCCTTGTTAAAGTGGTCCCCGCACCTGCGATACAAAGTGACTCCTCCTGGCTCTTACTTCCGGCCCCACTCATTGGTAATCAATCCCATCGTCTTAACACATCTTTTGTAATGTTGTTTTGATTGCTGTTTGTCTCTTGTGTTCCTGGCTGCATCTTGCGGAAACAAACTTTATTTTCTACCTCTGTCAGTCTCCCTCTAGTGGTGTAACGCCACCCACAGGTGGTCCAGTCCATCATTCTTGATTGACTGTTCCCTGCCCTTTCCTACTTCTTTCTCATGGGGAACCGTGCTCACCATTCTAAGTGTTTCGAGTGTATTCACTCCTCTACTCTTCATGACAACTCTGTGACGTCACCCAGACCCAAACTCACACAGTAAAGCAGCGGAGTTGGAATGTGAGCCAGGGCAGTTTGGCCATAGTCTACTCTCTTGGCCACTACAAAGTCCTCTTGGCCTTTGGCCTACAAAGTCATAGACTGGTGTCTGTCACAGTCTTCTGTGTCTGCCCCACGCCCCTGCACAGGATATGAAAAGGTGAGAGACAACTGCCCCAGTGAGGTGAGAGACTCACTAGACATATTGATTAACCTCCTGAACTGCCAGAAAAAAAAAGAATGGAAAGGAAAAATTCTGGTAACTACATCTACACTGGGGTCACCATGTGGAAGAAGGCAGGAGGGGGCTGCGGTCCAGTGTAGCCCAGGGGTTGAAGGAAGAGCCCCTCAGTGGAGGCCAGATCAGCAGTTCTAGAACAGGGACAAGGCCAGAGTCCAGCTTGCCTTTTTCTTCAATCTTCTTTTCTTTATGGAATTGAGCAGAGCAGAGGAACCTGTGGTCTTAGTTTTTTCTAGAGTTGGTTCTGACAATTCAAGGAAAATATAGCCAAATATTTTAAAATTTGTTTGATACTGATCTTTTGAAATGTGTGGAATGACTTCCTTCTGGTTCAAAAACAGAAAAACAATAAAAATGTCCATTCTGTCATTCTTCGTCATCTCAAGAGTTACCAGATTATAAGAGTTGCCTATAAAAATTGCCAGTATTTATTGAGTCCCTATTATATGTGCTAGGCATTATGTTGGGTTCTTCATTTTCTTCAGATTTTTACCATTCTACCTTTTGATACAGGTACTATCACTGTTCCTGCTAACTAAATAAGGAAACTGAGGTTTGGTGTACTTAAGCAGCTTGCCTGAGAAGACATGGTTGGCAGGTGGTGGGGTTAATATTCGAACCAGGGCTGTCTGATTCAAAGCCTAGTTAACACAATAATTTGGAGAAGCAGTACAGAGCTCTGTTTCTATTGCTCTTGGGTTGGTGCCACATCCCTTCCTCAAGGACAGTCCTGTCCTCAGCCTCTGACCTAGGTGGGGTGTCACTCAAAGGCTCCCACCTCTCTCTCTACCTGGGTGGCCTGAGCCACACTGGCCAATGGAGGAACTCTCGGCTCTAAAAGGGCTATGAAGTAGGGCTCATCAGAAGCATTTTTTAGGAACGGAGTGGAAGAGAAAGAATCTAAGTCCTCCCGAGATTCGGGTGCAAAAAATCTAAGTCTGGGGCTCTAGAAGGCCATCTGCCCTGGAGACAGACTGCCTGAGAGTGTCACCTCAAAGAGATAAAGAGAGAAGCAGAATCCTGATGAGAGACTCTGAACCCCTGGATCCAGACATGTCCAATTCTGTCTTAAATCCCAGTCATTACCAAGGCCGATTCAAAGTAGAGTCTGTCCCTCACAGTTAAAGCCGTCTGCCCACAGCAGAAGGGGTCAATATCCAAAATGCTCTCTGAGAATCTAACCATTGATCAGGCCTATAAAGTAGGTCGGGACTATCCCTACCTAAGAAAAGAGGGCGGACCCTGTACCACCACCAACTGTGCTCAACAGTGTGGTTAGTTCCATGGCTCTGCAAGTTCTGGATGGACCTGGCACTTACAAGGGCAAGCACAGATTGCTAAATCCTGGCCTTCGTCCCTTTTTCCAGATGCTACCATGGGTCATGCAACCACCTCTAGGTAGTTTCTGGAGCTGTGACTGGAAATCACCAACTCACCAAAATAATGTTTAAAATCTTCTATTTAAGCTTCTCCTGAAAGCAGAGAGATACCATAATTCTTGCCTTTCTGTTCCCTGGACCAGCCTGTCAGCCCCAGAGCCCTACTCACTGGACTTCCAGAGCGTTCTTGCTCTTGAAGGATGCCCCCCCCCCCCCCCACCAGAGACTGTCAGAGTAGAAATAAAACGTGTGGATATAAGGCATCCACCCAATGAGCCATCAGGAGAAGCAACTCTGGTAACCAGTGAACTGAACATTGTTGCAGCTGGAACATCACTATATCCTGCTCCCAACTAGTTTCTCAATGGGAATCCAAACTACAGCAAAGCCTCTGTGCCTCTACCTTGTGAGTCCTCCAAGGTGCGAGCTAACATGGGAGAGGGAGAAGCAGATGAGGAACATGTAGCTGGTATCTCAGAGAAGCATGTACATATAGTCCTTGACTTCACAAGGGTTGAACCTACAATTTTTTGATTTTACAACGGTGTGAAAGCCATATGCCTTCAGAGAAACTAGAATTTGAGTTTTGAATTTCAGTCTTTTCCTGGACTAGTGGTAGGCACATGATTTCTCTTGTGATCCTGGGCCATGGCAATGAGCTGCAGCCCCCTGTCAGCCAGGTGATCACCAGAGCAAACAACTGACACACCACTACTGGTTTTCACTTCCGGTACGGTATTCAACAAATTACAAGAGATATTCAGCACTTTATTATGAACTAGGCTTTGGATTAGATGATTTTGCCCAGGTGTAGGCTAATTTAAGTGTTCTGAGCACATTTAAGGTAGGCTAGGCTAAGCTATGATGTTCGAGAGGTCAGGTGTATCAAATGCATCTTTGACTTAGGATATTTCCAACTTACGATGGGTTCATCCAGACGTAACCCCGTTATAAGTCGAGGAAAATCTGTATTCATTTTCCGAAAGGATAATTAAATACCAAGTTGATTCACTTACACACTCCCAGATCCTTGGAACCTGAACAAAGCAGTGCCACACCAATCTCTATGTGGAGCCCTCTTGAGATATTAAAACTATCGTAGCCTTTGAGCCTCTTGGTGCTTTGGAAAAACAACCTAGATATGATGATTATTAATTTCTAAATGATTGTCATAATGATATTAAAAGTGCTTAAGGGAATTCTTGCTGTGCCTAGAACCGTTCATCATTGTTGCTGAAAGAGTCCATATTCAGCACTGAAATCTGATTATTTTTATGGCATTAGCATCATTACAGATCA